CTCCTAAGTAGCTGGGATTTTAGGTGCCTGCCACCACGCCTGCTAATTTTTGTATTTTTAGTAGAGATGGAGTTTCACCGTCTTGGCCAGGCTGGTCCTGAACTCCTGACCTCATGATCCACCCGCCTCGGCCTCCCAAAGTGCTGGGATTACAGGCGTGAGCCACCGGGCCTGGCCAAAATCCTATTCTTAAGATTGGCAAGGAGGGAGAGTAGAGTATCTACATGGGGAGCAGACCTGGTACCGGCAGTTCCTATTCTGTTCCCCAGACTCATCTTCTCTTGGACAATCACTCTGCAGTCCCCACTCAGCCACAGTGCCTCCTCATTTAGACTTGGGAGCACAGGGAGGACAGGCTGGAAGTCTCAAACAAACGTTTAACGTTTAGGAAATAAACATAGTCATTAGTCATAAATTATTGTGAGCTGCCTTTAGTTGTGAGACCCCGTGGAGATCCCTTTTCTTTGCTTACCTCTGTCCTTCTTCGTGTCACAGAGAAGATCTTTAACTCCTACAACCATGAAGACCTTCAGAAGATGAAATTCCTGCCCAAGAGAGTGGATGCCCACAGAGACACTGGTTGTTTCATATTCTGCCTACTAAAGACTTATCTGTATTCAGGGTATTGGAGTACTCGTCATGGTGCCTGCCACTTGGTAGAGGCTTATGCATATTAGCTACTATTATGCACCTCAGTTTCCATTTTTGACAATCAACTTCTCCTACAGGATTGATCCTGAGGCACCATGCTTATTCTTGTGGCCCTGATGACTCAGTATTTTATTCTGTTCTCACGCTGCTATAAAGAACTGAACTACCAGAGACTGGGTAATTTATGAAGAGAAAAGGTTTACTTGACTCACAGTTTTGCGGGCTTAACAGGAAACGTGACTGGGAAGCCTCAGGAAACTTACAATCATGGCGGAAGGCAAAGAGGAAGCAGGCATCTTCTTCACACGGTGGCAGGAAAAAGAGAGTGAAGTGGGAAGCGCTGCATACTTTTAAACCATCAGATCTCATGAGAACTCACTCACTATCGTGAGAGCAGCAAGGGGGAAATCCAACCCCATAATCCTATCACCTCCCACCAGGTTCCTCTTCCAATTTGACATGAGATTTGGGTGGGGACACACATCCAAACCATATCACTCTGTGTGATAACCTTATCGATGTAGAGATAGAGTCAATATTCCCATAAGGAATAGATACATAGACTAGCAATGGGGCCGTTTTACTATAGGATTATTAGGAGTTGAGGCTGAGGCTTAGCCAGGCCTTTCTATTGAAAGGCCCCTTTTCCTGGGCTTTCATTAGAAAAGAGAGAGAAAGGGAAGAGAGAACCTATGTCTCAAGTTGTAAATTTGTAAAGAACACCACAGCTGTTTAACAGCCTTCCTAGTGCATGGACATTTTCTTAGGCTTCTAAGATTCCTTGGGAAAGCAACACTGAATGGCTGTTAAAATGCCTTAGGAATCATGGAAAACTAGGAGACTTTGAAGTGACAGGCAAATGTCCAATTTTCTGAAGAAGAAAGACACGTTTTGCCTCCTCGATGGTAAGCCCCATTTCATGTCTTCATTAGCAGAAGTCTAATAAGGATTTGTTAAAAGATGGTTTGAAAACATCTGCACAGGAAACATGCACCCTACTAAAATCCGGCTCTCCAGAGCTTAACAAGGACCAAGCTGAGCCAGATCAGCACTGTTTCTTTTGGGGGTAGATTGCCAGTTGGATGGCTCAGGAGGTCATGTATTTGCATCTCAGCCAAGACTCCTAACACAAATTGATTTCTATTTTATGTCAGTGCCTGTTGTGTGCCAAGCCCTATGTTAAGCATTGAGAATTATCAAGCTAAAATGGCTCAGTTTTATGATAGCAGAAGTATTCTATTTTTCTCAATAGATGCACACATATGAATGGTTGGAAATTCTGAAGTTAATAAAATTAATGGCAGATTTAATATATTGAATAAACACACCTAGTTCCTGAGGCATTGCCCCCCTAAAGAGTGGTCTTTCATGGCATTTATCCGGGCTCTGCCCTGCCTTGTAAATGCTCTACCAACATTTTTGTGGCGATGTTTATATATTTTTGGATAAACCAAAAATGGCGAGAAAAACATTATTCATTGATGAAACTAGTCCAGAAAGATGATCCTTTTCTCTGACAAAGACCAAAATTGTGATAAATAGTAACTACAAAGTCTTATACTCTTTTCTACTAATTAAAAAAAACATCTACTTTTGTGTTTATGTGTGTGTTAAAGATTTAGTATTAGTGCATGGAATTTTAACCATAAACCATTGAAATATAAATAAGATAAATAAAATCTTCCTATCCAACAGATTTCTCCTTCTTTCTAAACAACCAATCTTTGTTCTAACAAAATTTGTTCTAACAAATCTTTTCTTTTGTTTTTCCCAGTAGCTCATGAACTCCTCAAAGTCAGGGCCTGTATATTGTAGCCTCAATGTCTGATAAAATGCCTGGATGCTCGAAAGTCCACAATAAGCACTTCCTGAAGATGTATTCCCCGCCCCTGCAGAAAACTTAATTTGCTCTAATATTGCATTAATTATAGAATAGCATCTGTATCAAGTTTATATTGCTACTATAACAAATTGTCCCCAAATTAATGGCTTAAAACAACACAGATTTGCTATCCCACAGTTGCAGAGGTCAGAAATTCCACAGGGATCTCACTGAGCTCAAATTTGTGGACAGGACTGCATTCCTTCCTAAGGCTCAAGGGGAGAATCTGTTTCTTTCCTCTTCCTAATTCCAAATGCTCTCTATATTCCTTGGCTTTTGGTCCCCTTCCTCCATCTTCAAACCAGCAATTGTCTGACCCTTTTGCTGTGGTCACGTTTCTGTGTCTGGCCACTCGGCTAGGACAGGTTCCCAGGTTTTCATGTAAGGTTTCCTGTAATAAGATTGGGACCACTTGTGTAATCCAGGATATTGCCATGTAAAATAATGTATTCATAGATTAGGATTAGGGCATGAACGTTGTTGTGAGGCCATTACTACTCTTAGCATAGTATCCAGATAAGAACGGCAGTAGTGTTAAGCTATTAGAATATGCCCAGAATATTTTTACTATGTCTCACTTCAATCGAGCACTTGAGAATTGTGGGAAAGAACCAGAACAGGGAGGAGGAGGTTTGGAGTTGTACCAATCTCAAGGGCGTTTGAAGGAATAGAGTGTTTGGCTTAGAAAAATATAGCTTAGACCTCTATATAGGGGTAGGGGCGGACTGTGATTGCTGAGGCCTGAGATGACGGCTGTCTTCAGAATATCAGAAAGTTCTGTCACAGACAGAGGATTGAAACTTATGCTTCACAATCTCAAAGAACAGAATAGAATAAATATCTGGAAACTCCTAGAGTGCAGCTTTTGGCAGAAAATCAGGCAGAGCTGTTATGGCTGTTACTGATGTCCTTAAGTGCCACAGGCTAGAAATGTCATAGCTTGATGGTGTGGGAAGTCTTATAAAAAATATTTAAGTATTAGATGAGGGATCATCTCAGATGAACACTTAACCTAAATCTAATCCTCGTAGTCAATCTCGTAGTTAATGATTGTGTAACATTCTATAAGGCTTAGAATTCTTTTTTTTTTTTTTTTTTTTTGAGAGTTTTGCTCTTGTTGCCCAGGCTGGAGTGCAATGGCACGATATCGGCTCACTGTAGCCTCAACCTCCTGGGTTCAAGCGTTTCTTCTGTCTCAGCCTCCTGAGTAACTACGATTACTGGGATTACAGGGGCCCACCACCACGCCTAGCTAATATTTTGTATTTTTAGTAGACATGGGGTTTCACCATGTTGGCCAGGCTCCTGACCTCCACCCGCCTCGGCCTCCGAAAGTGCTGGGATTACAGGCGTAAGCCACCATGCCTGGCCTTATTCATAGCTTTTGAATACCTCTGATTGCATATAGCTACAGTCTAACAGGGCCCTTCATCTTTATTGAGGATCGTTTTGTTCTCACAAAATCCATTGTAAGGATCTATCCCATGCCACAAAAAGGAAGAGGTGAAGAAAGCTGGTAGAGTTGAGATGCCCCCTTGGAAGGTGAAGTGGTCCAGATTATTATTGAGAATATAAAAACAATGACCAAAGAAACGGTGCAAGATTTTAAATGCACACAAATACTTAGAAAAATACTCTCCTCTGGCGTATCAGATGTAAAAACAAAACAAACAAATAAGCTTTAAAGAGTCAAGGCTTGAAGAAAGTGTAGATTCATTGCTATTAGGTGGTCTGTGTGAGTATTAAGTATGATTCATCTTTTGAGGAAGTTAGATATTTTAAAATGAAGGAAAAAGAAGTAGATAGGGTTATTTCATCTTAATTCAGGAAATACATTTTTGGGACTTTTTTCGTCAATCTACTTTGGGGATGATTATTTGGAATAATTTGTTTAAGATTCATGAGACTGCCGTAGAAAGTATTGTTTTTTTTGTCACTAGTGTATGATGCATAAAAGCTCTTCTTCATACTTTTTCAAGAATTACCTTACCATGAACATTCTTGACCTTTTAAATATACATCTGAATGTTTAGATTATAAACCTGAACTGTACTGCGTTATGTTAGACTATTTGACCAAAAACGTATTTTCTACCACAAAAAAAGTCCAAAAGGAATTAATTACAACTTCAATTGTATTCAAGATCAGTCTTAGTGGTTCTTTATATCTGTGATTTACGTATCTTCAAAGAGAGTCTTCAGTGTCTTTGGGACTGTAATGGGCATTCTAGACTAAGAGGAGCTTGTTCAGACACTTAAGATTTGGGACCAATGCTTTCAATGACTTCATAGCCATTCCATCTTCTTTCTACTTCTGCGGATTACCCAACAGCAATAATGATAATCTGAGCCAGCTCCTGATACTTCTCTCTATAGTCAGGAGAAGGTCAGCTATTTTTTGATCCCCATGGGAGAAAGACAGCTCCTCAATCACTATCTTAAAATAGCCTGCAATTCTCAGCTGCTGGGCTGGAGTCCCTCCAGGGGAGAGCAAAGGGAATATGAATCCTGCCGGCGGGGCGTGAGTGAGAAGCCACCAAAACACGAGCTAGGACAGCCTTCTCAAGAAGATTCTGCCGACTCAAAAATATTATTATTATTTTATTTTACTGTTGTTTCTGAGAAACTAGGGGTCTTACCATTTTAAAATTTCGTATTTTATTTAAAAGGAAACCAGTGAATTGAAAATGAGACTAAATATCGCTATCTTCTTTGGAGCTCTCTTTGGTGCTTTGGGGGTATTACTCTTTTTGGTGGCTTTTGGATCGGATTATTGGCTTCTTGCAACCGAAGTGGGGAGATGTTCAGGTGAACAGAACGTGAGTCTCTTCTTCAAAATAGTGATGCACATGGTAGTTAGGAAGATAGTCTTATGTATGCTCTTGAAACCAGAGAGTAGTAGTGGAGTGTCTGTTTCTTCATAGAAGAGATATGTAGAAAGCTACGGAGCTTTGTTATTTGGGATAAAATACATGTCCTTAAAAAACTTCCTGGCTGTAATGATTTTGATTCTATTTCTCATACTGATGGCAAGTTACTTCATCTTGTTCTGTTCAGATAGAGAACGTCACTTTTCACCATGAAGGGTTCTTCTGGAGGTGTTGGTTTCATGGGATTGTGGAAGAGAATGACTCCAGTATTTGGAAGTTCTGGTACAGTAAGTACAATTTAGCTTTATTTTCCCCCTTGTCTTTAAAATAAAAATGAACAATCTCTTACATAGTATATGTCACTTTGAGAGGACTGGATTGTGAATTACAGAATCTCAATTAGATGTCTTTAAAAGGTTCATCATGTCGAGATTCCTTTTCAGTAAGTAGACATGGCTATAGGAATAATTATTTTATCTTTTAGCATAAAGCAGGAGTCTGAATATTTATGGCAAAACTGAATTATCCAGTATTTCTCTGCTCCTATTTAGAATACACTAACTCTAACAAACAGAACCGGTATTGTCTATAGCATTTTTTCAAGTGTCTGTGAATACTATGTTGCAAATAAATGAGATGTTTTTGCTATCAGCCCTTGAAATCTCAAATGTAAAAATCCATAAATAGAGATGTATTATTTTATATTCATAGTGTCAAAGTTAACAGTATCTTTTTTTTAAAAAAAAATGATAATTACCAGCAATGGCAGATGAAAGCTTATGTTATTTGAGCTTTAACCAAGTTTGTTGGCACTATCAAGAAATGCGTTGCTTTTGATATTTGTGTTCTCATTGAAACTTTAAAGTCACTTTTTAAGGTAGCATAACTTTTAAAAACTATAATGCATTCCTTCAATTGTGTTTTTTATATTGAATTATTCTTTGAAAATCCATTTATTGAAAATAGCTAGCACTTATTTCATTGTATTCAACAATGAAAGAGCTTTTTATTAGCCTAAAGCTTATTGAGAATTGAAATTATTAGTCTTCTTATCAAAAATCAAAGTATGGTATATACATAATAGGATCATGGAATATTTAATAAAAATAGGAGGTCCCTGAAAACTTAAGCAAGCTGGTGGTAAGTTGGCATATATAAGGAACAAAGTAGTGATGAAGCCGCCTTTTGAGGCAAGTACCTGATAGACTATCTTACAGTGGATTTAGGGGCAGGAGAGTAAGCATACAACTTGCCAGTGGAAATGATTTAGGCTTTGGTAAAGGAAAGTAAGTCAGACTGTGCAAGAGGAAGATTTTGCCAAAGACTTTGAGAAAGAAATAATATTTCAATATTTCAGTCCACCTTAAAGTATACATATAAAAATTTTAATTTTTCAGACAACTTAAAAGTACCTTCTTGTGACATTTTCAAATATTAAAAATTTATTTGAATTATTGTGTAACTTATCATTTACATTCTTCCCTAAAATAAAATGGATATAGAAGAAATTTTTTTATTAATTTGAACTAATCAAGGTTAAACTTAAGTTTATTAGATTTTTAAAACAATTATTTTTTTAATCCCTACTGTATGCTAGACACTGTTAGGTACTGAAGAGTATGTGAAAATGGATGAAATGTGGTACCTTAAATCGCAAGGTGATATAAAGGGCATTTGCATTTATTCCATTGAATTATGTCATGTAGCTAGATGTTCTGGATGAATCCACCTTCCAAGTCTCATGTGCATCTTGATATGAGTTTCCTAGAGGGCCCTCCTCACAACAATTCTCTGAATTTGCTGATGGAACCAGTAGTTTTATTTTGCTTGTGTAACCCTTGTGTTCTGTATTTCTGTTCCATTAAGGATGAGTCATCACTGAGTTTTTCAATAACAGGTGCCATTTTTTTGCTCTCCTTTCTAGCCAATCAGCCACCATCCAAGAACTGCACACATGCTTACCTGTCTCCATACCCCTTCATGAGAGGCGAGCACAACTCCACCTCCTATGACTCTGCAGTCAGTAAGTACCTCTGTCCTCAGCCTACCTCTGAAAGGGTTTTATCTTTCTGAAGGATGCCCAGATCAAAATTGTTGAGAGCAATTAAAAAGCAATTTAAGACCTGTAATTTCAACTTTTTTGATCTGTTAGATTAAAAAATGTTATTTTTAATGTGCCATTTATAATTTTAAAGAACATAACTTTGATCTAAAAGTAAAGTCATTGTAATTTACTAGCTGCCTATTAAAGTATTTTTAAATGTGCTTTCCCATATGAAGATAGTAATATTTATTAAGAAGAACTGCTTCTTAAGGTTTTAACAGACCTAAAATGAATCCTACAGTTGAAAATATTGTAATATACATCATACTTCTAAAACTTTTTTGTAATTATTACACATGAGAATATAACAGATAAATATATATAATATGCATATAACACATATATATGATATAAATATATAGTTACGCTACTGTTTTCATACAAAATGACTGAACTCTGTGCGTGTAATATCCCATAGGAGAAAGACAGACAGATATCATTACTTAAAATCACATTAAGAACATGAAATTTGTAATAACTTGCTCAGGGTTGGTACAGACTATCAATGTCATATATAGAACAGAAAATTGTTTTTCAAAAAGAATAGCTATTATATTTAATGTTCTCAATAAATTAATATTAGTCAAGGTTCTCCAGAAAAAAAGAGAAACAATAGAACACATAAATATATATTATATACACACATATAGGTACATACATATGCATGTACACATACACACACACACTTAGAGTGAGAGAGAGTGATTACGAGGCCTGGTAAGTCTGAAGTCTACAGGGCAATTGGCAGGCTGGAGATTCAGGTCAGAGCTGATGCTGCAGTCTCCAGTCTGAAGGCTGGAGACTCCAGTAGAATTTTTCTTCTGCAGTCTGGGAGCTGACTTTCTTCTTTCTCAAGAAACCTGTTTTTTCTCTTTAGATCTTCAGCTGATTGGATGAGTCCCAATCATAGTGTGGGGTAGGGAGTAATCTACTCTACTCAAAGTCAAGGAATTATAAGTGCTCATTGCATCTAAAAATACCTTTACAGCAATATTAAGCTATTATTTTACCCAACAACTTGGCACCATAATCCAACCTAGTGGATATATGACAATAACCATCACAGAACTCAACACATCTTTACATGTAACTATTTTTCATCTTTCTGTTAAATATGTAATTCTATACATTATAATTTTGTTTTAGTTTTGTCAAAGAATGTAGTATTTGCTTGTATTACATCATGAATAGGACACTTTTAAAGAGAGTATGAGATCTGGATAGGGAAAGAGGTGAGCTGACCCACAGCTGTGCTAGTCCACCAGGGTTCCTTGGGTTCGAAGGACTGGGACCACTTTCCTTGAAAACATGTGTGGTATGGATGCTCCTTCCCATTAAAAGCTGCAGAAGGCACCTCACTCACATTTGTCAAAACCTTGGTGTCATGTGGAACGGACTTAGAAGTATACAAGCCTACCTGTCACTAGTAAGAGAAGAGATGGATGGCATAGGAAAGAATAGGAGAAACTCTTTTGTTTTACAGACAAGTTACAAAACGATGCTCCTTCCCCAACATTCTTACTTTTATAAAATGAACTGAAAAGTAATACAAGGTTGGCTTTCCAGAACGTTAGGTATTAGCATAAATATTAGTATTGTTGTTATGCATATAATGAGGTCCTGTGATAAGATATGTATTGTAGGCACCGTATATTTTAAAATGATCACATATTTGAAAAGCCTTTGCTTCAGGGAGATAGTGGAGAACTTGAAAAACAAAGTAATGTAATCTGTGCATAATAATTATGATGGAGATGGATTGTAAATACGTGTCAGAAAAATTATACTGCAATTACGCTTAGAATTATTATGTAGCACTGCGTTTAATTAGTGTGTCACTTTTTTGATCTAGTGACAAAACCAAATCCAATTTTTTAAAATTACCAAATTCCTCATTGGCGCACATACTGGAACTCATTTACTTTCAGAAACTTTGTCAGTCACTTTAGGTAAACATGATTGAGACGTGCAAAGATGTGTTCTACAACAGAAATGCTATACTCAAATTTCATTCATCATCATCGTAATGTACAAGGAAATTTGATATTACGTTTGTTAAATTTGTGGGGTTTTTTTGTTTGTTTCTTTCTTGTATCCAAGAGAAAGGTATAGATTTCATCGGAAGCTTTGTACCTGACTTTTCAGTATGGTTTCCTAGTTAATGAGACTACATATCCTTCACTACGCTTGAGAATCACTATTAAGTTTCATGTAGCTTCACAATTACCCAACATCAGATACTTGCCAGGTCACCTTTGGTAAATTGAAAGTATCATTTATAAATTCTGATGTATTGTGGCCTGGCAAAGTATTGGTGAAATGGCTTTGTAGTGTCCTGAGCTTTTACAATTGCAGTTAGCCAACGTTGAATTCAGTGAAAATAATATAGTGGGTGTATGATTTTTCTGGAGTAACAATTTTAGAATTATAGGACACTACCAATGAAATTATCCTTTTATAATAAGGAGACTGGGAATTAGAGAAATCATGTGATTCTGTCTTCATACAGCTGCTTATCGGCAGAACCATTGCAAAGAACCAAGTCTGGCTTTTGTTTTGTTGATAATCTAATAAACTGCAGCGAATGAAAAGGCTAATTGTAATGCATACTATTAAAAAATATAAGTCTTTTATTTATACCTTTACAAAATAACAAATTAAACTTCCATTGGCTCTTTCTGCCTTTATATTCGAAGCTGACTTGTGTGTATAATCAGGCCTAATTCAGTGTTTTCTTTCATTTAAAAGAATCTCAAATACATATTCTGAAATTCAGTTATCCTCAAATCTAGTTATTTGAATGACTGGCCAAGCCTGGTGAAGGTGGTCTAATTCGCAGAATTGCTTTTGAGGTAGGCTTGTGTACTTCTAAGTCCATTAAACAATTCTGTTACCTTTGGAGACTTGTCAGAGTCTAGATTTTCTGGTTTGTTTCATGTTTACATTCAGTCACAGTTCACTTGCTTGGCATCATTTGGCAATGATGTACTGAACAGAAATGAATATGCAAGACAATTCCACCCCGAGTGAATTAATTTTTTGCTTTCTCAGTGTCCCCATAGCCTTTGATGACCCCTCTATCAGTGCTCATTATGCTTAACTGCAATTGTTTGTTTACCTCACTTCCTACATTATGTATTCGAGCTCTCCAAAGCATAGTTCCTGGTAATTACTAGATGCTTAAAAATATGTCTAGAATGACTTTATGCAAAATTACAGTTACTGTTTTCAGCAATAAACTAGTTTGATTTTATTTTTCCAAGTGGAAATGTTTATAAACTCAATTGCATACTTTTCATTTCTTCTGAAGCAGAATGCGATGAACACAGTTTCAGCTTTTCTTGATGAGTGGGAACAAATACGTACTTACAGGGATGAGCTCTCTGACCTTCTTTAAGGTCGTCCGTCTCAGTATCTGTCCCCTTGCCTCAGGACCTGTGTATATGCCCTAAACTTCCCCAAACGGTGTTCCTCTCTTCCTTCCTCCTCCTCTGTTCATTTTTCTAACAGAGCAGGTTTATCCCTCCAGCCAGTTCAAGCTTCAGTTTCCCAAGGAAGACTTCCTTACCTGCCCCCTACCCTACTGGTACCTGCGCTGGGCCATGCTCTCCTTTATAAAACCCAGTCTTTAATCTGATAATTCGTAGCACGGTTTTAAACTATGTACTCATGTACTTATCTTGTTCATGTACTTTCTTTCCAGTTCAATCCTAAGCTCCATGAGAGTGGGGGCCTTGTATGTTTGGCTCTCTATTGTATCCACTGTGGACCAAAAGCTGAATGCACGTTTTGGGGAGACTTCATTATCACACTGTACTGTGGTATGAATACTGATGCCCTAAGTCACTATTGATGTGCAGAATTTCTTTAGCCCTTTACTAAATTGACCTACACTTTAAAAATTTAAAATTTTTTTAAAAAAAATTTGTTTGGCCAGATATGGTGGCTCACGCCTGTAATCCCAGCACTTTGGAAGGCTGAGATGGGCAGATCACTTGAGGTCAGTTAGAGACCAACCTGGCCAACATGGTGAAATCCTATCTCTACTAAAAAAAAAAAAAAAAAATATATCACACATACACACAAAATTAGCCAGGCAGGGTGGTGCACACCTGCAATCCCTACTACTCGGGTGGCTGAGGCATGAGAATTGCTTGAACCTGGGAGGCAGAGGTTGCAATGAGCTGAGATCATGCCCCTGCACTCCAGCCTCGGCAACAGAGCAAGACTCCAGCTCAAAAAAAAAATTTTTTTTTTTTGTATACTTTCTGTAATTTTTGGTCTTCCACGTTGTTTTCACCTGCCAGCTGTATTTTGCTTTTATTGTCAATGTTTATTTATCTAGTACTATTTTCTGGTCTTCTTTCACCCTTATAAAAGTGTAAGCTGAAGTGAATGATGTGAGGCTACAAGCAGGGGGGCTACAAGCGAGGCAAGATGTTAATTGGTAATGCATTAGGCTGCAAGTAACAGAAAACAAACTGTAGCTCAAAAGGTTATTTTTCTTCTGGAACAAGAGGGTCAGAAGCACCTTCCACAATGATGCTGCCAGGAACCCAGGCTCTGTCAACTATTTCTTCTACCATCCTTGGAGATGGATAGTTACCTTCATGCTCTTTCATTCTAAGGAAAGTGGAAGTGCTCCTAGAATTTAACAGTCAGTTTCTGCCCATGTCTTATTTATCAGAACAATGTCACGTATCCCTGTGGTTGGTACACATTGTTTTGGGCTGTCTAGCAACATAGAAGGGAAATGGAGAAAGCCTGGGAGTGAATGAAAATCAAAATCATTCAGTGAATCAATATCATCAGGGGTTGAACAAAGGTGGGACCATAAAAATGGAAAGGAAATAAAGAATATAATTGATATGTGAGGAGTTCACATGTAAAATTGGTAGCCAAACAAAAAAGAGCTGGAG